TTGGATGGTCTTCATGTTTAAACAGTCAAATAATAATAAATGAGTGAAATAAAGAGAGAACAGACAAATGAACTTTGGTGTTTTCAATCTCCCTTTCCACCTTTAGTCATCATCCAGGCTCTTCAGATGTGGCAGAAACACAAACTGCTCTAAAGAGATGAAGTTTGGCAGGACGAAGCCGCTGTTGAGGTAACACTTTTGTTTTTGACTCTTTGGTTCAGATCAAACGCTTCCTCTGGTTTCTCAGCAGGAACTGACAGCAGGATTTAATCTGAAACATCCTCAGAGGCCTTAGAGCAGTTTGGACTCTGCTGTGATGAGTTCACCTGAACAAAAAGGCATTTTTCCTGCAACTATTTCAGCTTTAACAAACAGCTGGAGAGCTCTATGTAGCAATGTGGTCTGTAAAGTCAGGTTGGTTAATATTCATAGCTTAATTAACATGCTATTGGCTGTCACAGGGGATGGAGGAGGTTGTTCGTTCATAAAAACCTCTAATTTTCCGAGCCGTGGTTTTATGACTAAAGGCACTATTTTTCGATGGGAGTCTACAAGCTGGCGATTGATTACGTCCTCTGCAGGAGTGATTCGCCCCGCCTCTCTGCATGTATCTATTATTAAACAACACTCTCCTGCCTTTTCAGCCACTCTCCTCCGATGACAAGCGCAAGGGACTCTCTCATTTGTCCTCAGCCTTCGTAACTCGAGTCGCGGCGTTAAAAGATCTGCTGGGGCAGTGTCGGATGCCCCCCAGGCCTCCAGCTCCGTCCTGATCAATGCCTGCTCACATTTCACACGAGAACACCTGTCGGCTAGCGTGGAAGAGAGAGGGGGAGACGTGATGAGCTGTTATCAGCCCAGAAGACAAAACATAAGTGCCTGTTCTGCTGCAACACTTTCATTTTTGTCAGTGTCCAGAGCGGCAATTAAAGGCAGCAGGTTTACAGCAGAAATATATCTCTGCCCGCTTGAAAATTCCCCAGAACTTTTTTTTACTTTCCACTTGTGCAGGAGATTCAGATTCAAATTCTGGATTCTCAAAAGGACACAAGAAAACAGCATCAACTGTGTTTCATATATCTACGTGTCTGTCCACAGCTGTAAATCAAGCATGGTATAAGGGGATATTTAAGGATGCCTGTGCTAAGCAATGCTATTGTGGTCCTGCTGCTAAACTGATTAGCTCAGCACACACGTGGTTGTGCTGGAGACTGAAGATACCCAGATTAGTGCAAAATTGGTATATTTTCATTACAGCTCAAAAATGTACTATACAGCCCTCAAAACAAACAACAACAAACTGTTGGACTTTACAGTTAAATAAAAATTGGTTAACACAAAAAGATATGGATATACTGGGTGATATTATGTAAACAGATCAACTTCAAATATTGCAAAGAAAATGCCACTTTGAGCTGATGAGATGAGCAGCAGACAATTCTGCAGTTTGTGCCTGTACGCCTTGAAAAGTGATATTCTGCTCATGTAAAGCCTTGGTGCAGTATTTAAACATAGCCATTTTTTATTAGGGCTTTAAGCTGCTACTTTTCTTAACAATACAATGTGTACTATGTAACTGGATCAATGAAAAACCTACTTTAACACAATGCTGCAGAGAAATGAAAGGAAGTGATGACAGCTCAGTGATCTAAGCGACTTCCCCTCCCTGTAGGCCTACAATGTGTAAAAGAAGTGGTGTTTTCCTGCTACTTTTCTAAAGCTCTGGGGCACTGCAGCACCAACAATGGGCTTACATACAAAACTAAAAGCTAAGCATACAAACTGAAAGCAAGGCCGAACAGCTACTAACTTCTCTAAATCTCTAATTTGTTTAATCCACATAAGAGCTGAAAAGTAAAAATGACAATATGTGCTTTTAGGGGGAGTTACATGCTGTAACTAGCCAAGCTAGCTCTTTATGCTAAGCTCTCTGTACTGAATGCACAGACGTAGATAGATAGAAAGCAAAGTTTCCCCCAAACAATTGTTCAAAATTCAGTTTACATCATCAACTGAATAAAGTCAATGAAATGAGATCAGGATCAAAGACCACACCTTGTCCTGATTCAGTATCCTGTTATAGGCGTGTCAAACGCTTTCCCACTTGTATCAGTTCACACATCCCTCCCACCAAACCCATTTCATTTTTCTGCTTTTTGCCTCCTCTCTCATAACAGAAACCTCAGGGGGGACAATGAAGCTACCTCATCTCCCCCACATTGAGGCTCATTCCCTGGGTTCTTTGCCACGTCAGCTTCCAGTTCACACTCATCATCATCGTCTCCCATTCGGCCCTCTGCTTGTCTCTTTAAGGTTAAAGGTCATCCCATCCTTTCCTGTCCAAATAACCTATCTGCACATAAGTGGTGTGATCTTTGTGAAGTGCTTAAAAAAGGCACCTGGATTTATATCTTGGACAGATTTTTTATTTTACAGATTAGGGTGTATTTGGGTGTTTTCATCCTAAAAGTGCAGGTCTTGACTGGATAAAAGCTTTATTATAAAAAGAAAGCAGTGAAAGCTTTGTTTGCTAATCAAGGATTTTGAAGACAGAGGTTCTCAACATAGGAATGTTTTATTGAGCAACAATTGTATAAGACGGGCTATTTCAGTAATTCAAGCCTGTGTGACTCACTAGACCTTGTTCCTGCAGCCTGATGACAATTTACTGCAGTCTGGAGAAACTGTCGCACACACATACAGCAGATAAAACTGAGCAGGGACTTTTCTGCAGCAGAAACAACACGTGTCAAGATATAAAAATCAGCTTAAAACAACCTTTTCTTTTACAAAAATACTACTTTTCAGTGAAAGCTGAAGTCCAGTAGGTCTGAGCTATTACAAGAAAAAAATGAAGCAAAAGGGTAGAGATTGGGTCATATTATATTATGTCCTTAGTCCAAATTCAAATAAATGCTTTTGTCAATATCAGACAAAGCCATACAGGTTGTGCGGCCATTACTAGAGCCAAATGCATTCATCCTAAAAGGCAAAAGTAGGAGATATAAAATAGTGAAAAGGTTGATTGCAGTTTCCAATAGCCCAAGCAAGTTGATGTCAAATACCTGACTTTGTCTAATCAGCAAAAATGAAAAGCTGGAACCACAGAAAGTTTGATATTTTTGCTTAAAAATGACCGAACCTGGGGGTCTGAACCCCCACTACGGGTCGCCTAATCTTCACAGGAGGTCTCGAGGACTTTTTGATTTTAAGTGTGCAAGTAAACTTTAAAACTACACAGTCTAATCCTGTATTAGAAACATTAAAACAACCACAGAGCTGATAGAACAATGAGGAGAAAACACAGAATTTATGAAAAAATAATCCTATTAAGTCTGTATTTGCTTTAATGTGTGTCATGTAATGATGCATTTTAACCTCAAATAGATGTTCAACCTGTCATGTAGTAACTTTTCAGCAAACAATAACTTTAAATCTGATTTGGCATAAACAGCTTGCAGAGCAACATGAGACACTGAACGTCTGGCTGATACACGGAGTAATGAAATCCGATTTTGGCAGTTGGCCATTTATCTCATGGTGAAACATTATGTCACACAAAGAGCCTCAGCAGGAGTTGAAGGTAGCTGCAACAATAATAAAACAAGCTTCCTTTGCTTTAGACTTTGTGAGATTTTGTGGAGGTCACGTGATCTTACAGACAAACAGGTAGAGGTAGTAACAGGTAAGCAGCGCTGGATAACAAGGTAACTTAGTGTCAAAGTCCCATTTAGCAAGGCATTTACCCCCAGCAGTGCATGCTTTCATCAACTCTGCCTGGATAAACAGCACTTGGTAAACGTTCTTTGCTAGAGTACTTTTTGAATAATGGCGTCTGGCGAGGGAAATGTCTCGGGACAATTTTGCTTCCCCCAGGGCGCCGGCACTGTCGGAGAAGAAAAACACATCGAAGCCTGCGTGTGTTTGGTTGACAGAGTTGTTGTGGCTCAAACTGCAGATGTTAAGTTTTATTTCTATGCTTGCCTTTGCAGGATTTTCTACTCCAACCCCCCACCCCCTTCATTTTTCATGTGATGGCTGTTCCCGCTGTGAGCTACCTCCGGCTGTAAAGACAAGTTGTTCACCGTTCATGTGACTGAGCGTAAGAATTGTGTCACATTGTCCGACTGCAACACAGTCTGAGGGCAAAAAGATGTAGCAAACAGACATTAATCAATCTGACTGACTAGGAAATTAGATTTTTGTTCTTCTTTCTTTCAACAGAGCGAAACTAATGATGCAGCAACCATCTGATAAAAGCACTCAGTTTGTAATGTGCATCATTTGAGAATAAATGCTGTTGCTGCAGTGTTATGGTAATGCCTGACAATTTTATTTAACATTTATCTGTGCAGTAAATGCTTTTGCTGAGCGTGAATGCTTTGTGAATAATGTACATTAGGAAGATATAAGGGAATGGCTCCAACTGTATTTCTCAGTTCAAGTAAAATTTTGTGATTGTGAACTTGCCCCAACTCTTTACTAGAAAATTGTGAGAAACACTTTTAGCAGGACCAATGTGAATATGGTTGTGACTTTGTGACTATCATCAATAAATGTAATATATTGACTGTTTCCGGCTTCTAAAATGTGATAATTTCCTGTTTTATATCATCACATTGACTATATTTGCATATTTGTAAATCTGAAGACATCACCCTTGGCTCTATAAACTTACCATAGGCCTTGTCACTATTTTTGGGGATTAATAGATACATGATAAATTTAAATTGAACTAATTTGACTCACACAGCGGGCAGCACCCTGTTCTTTGTCTATGAGACAGTGACAGATTTTTCCTTTAAAAAGGATTACAGCTTCACAATCCCTGACTAACCAAGGCTGAGATATATAGTTCTCAAAAATCCTGTTGCTCAGGAAAACACAATATGTGAGAATCAAGTCAACTTCTGCCAGGTCAGTTAGGTGTTATAAGTGTGTCTATCATATCCTTGTGAAAACCAAGACAATAAAAACACTGACGCAGTAAAATATCTTACCATCATGAGTTCCCTCTGGAAGGACTTCCTCTCCTTGTTCTCCATGTTCGTACACTCCTCTTTGAGTTTCTCCAGAACCGAGGCCACTTTCTCCGGCTCATTGTCCAACTCGGTCCGGCAAAAATAATTCAGTGGCAAATTCCCGTACCCCAGAGCATCTGCAAATGCCCTCCAACTTCCAACATTCTCCATTAAAACCATCCTCACAGTTGCGTAGATGTACGTAAGAAATTTGCAAGGCTTCAGGATCTGATCCAGCAACATTGTGGTCGTTAGGTCCGGCCCACACCAATAAATAGGCTTGACCTTACCCAGAACTAAAACATTCTTGGCATGGACAAGGCCTATCTTTCCCTGATAGTATCCGATGTACCACTCTTTGGTCCTCAGTTGCCCTCGCAGTTTGATTTTCTCCTCGCTGAGCAAAGCAATAACATCCCCCTTCTTGTACTCCAACAGATACGTGCTCTTGTGCTGCCTAATCACGGTTTTGATCAGCTTGCCAAATTTAAGGTTGGTAATGCACCGGTCCTGAAACTTTGGGTATTTGGAAGTGACAGCCAGTGGCGAGAGGACAATCTTATCCACCTCTTTCTTTTTCAGAAACCTCCTCTGGCCTGTTATCCTCGTTCCGGTCTTTGGAGGAGGCTGCGGAGTTTGGACACAGAACTGGGTGAGGATACAGTCAAGGGCGTCTTTAACTTGGACCCTGAGAGTGAAGTCTGAGATGCTGTTTGGGTTGTGCGATGTGATCATATACAGGAGCCTGCTGACTTTCCCCAATTTGACCTGAAATCCTCGAATCACACCTGCACCCTCAGTCGCCTTCACCTGGTAGTTGGACATGTTAGAGTACAATCCCACCTGGAGGTCCTGAGGGTACCCCAGCATGAACTGGTGCTTCCCCCACAACTGGAGGGCCACTGGCGGGGTGGAGCTAGCCTGTCGGCCCACTTCGCTTACCAACAAGGTCTTGGGGGCGCAGTCATGCCCAAACATGGCAACAACTGTCTTGAAGGAAGGGTGAATGTGCTTGGGTCCATAGACACCCAGAGTTACTTTCCTCTGCACATGGTCCCAAACAGTCATATTGTGGCTGATATACTGGGACTGAATCACAACAGCCACATACATACAAGGCTCTAGACTATCCAACTGGACCTGGACTGTATCCTTGTAAATGTAAGCATTAGGGATGGGCGTGTAAGGTCCTTCTTTGCAGTCGCTTCGAACACAAAGCACCTCTGCAGTGTGACAGCTCTCCTTCTTGACACTTACCAATATCTTCATTTCCAACGTGATGAAGGACTTGGTTTCCATGTTGCTGAGCTTGATCTCCACCACAGGGCTGACGGTGGAGCAGCGGTCACTGTTGAGCTCCAGAGGAGGGTCTAATAAGGCTTTCATGGAGATCTGCTGGTGGTCTCCATTGCTGACATGGCCTTCAGGGATGTGCACACTGATGTGGGTGTCTGGGAGCTGAACAACTCCTCCATTGCTGTCCAACATGCACACAATGTTGGTCTCCACCGGTTGCGTCTGGCCCCATCCAGGACTCTGACCCAGAGAGTCAAGGTCATGGCAAGATCTGGCTAGCTTTCTGTGGTTCAACCAAGCAGTCCTAAAGTCCTCCCTGCTCTGAAACTGCTCCGGTGACGGAGCCTTAAGGCCTGTAAAGAATCCCGAGGAGGGTAAGGTTGGATTTGACTGTGCCTGCAGGACTGAGAGTTCTGAGAGACTGTGGGAACGTTTACTCCTGAAAAATGGGTTATCCCTGTGGAGGTTAGGTGCATCCTCTTGATTTGGGCTGGTGGGGGTGGTATTGTTAACGTGGCAGCTGCTGAACCCATTGGTCATGATTGCACTAGTGTTAAAGTTGGAGCAAGATGACGGAGATGCCAGTGCATCAAACAAGATAAGATCTGCTGAGTTCCTTACACCTGTATCTTTGCAGTTTTGATCTAACGGACAGATAAAGGGGTTCACAGAGAAGGGGCTGTTGTTGTAAATTGAGGAGGGCTTAAGGCTCATCCCTGTCCACTCCCCCAAACCACCAAACTCCTTGGACCCATCCTCGTATCCTTCCCCAAGACTGTCGATCATCCCACTGTCGCTAAGCGAGGAGTTCCTGAAGTTGACCGGCTGGACATAGGCGGCTGGGATGTAGCCCATTTCCGTGTTGTTGTGGGCATACCACCACTCTCCACCTGACGTGTCCAGCACATAGAGGCGATCACCTTTGGAGAATTTCAGCGTGGTGAAGCTGCTGGGGCAATAATCCTTAATGGCAACCACTTCCTGTGCAGCTCCATAGGAGGCTGAAGTGTCAAGTCTTAAGGCACTTGGAGAAGGCACTGAAAAAGAAAAAGATATTAGACCAAATCACAATTTAAAACTATTCGTGATGGTCTTTTATTTGTCGTGATTGCAGAGCATTATTTTAACCGGCTTGGTCTCATTTTAATCACTTATTGGCTGATTACTCAAAACACTGCAGTTAACAGTGTTGATTTCATAATCAGACATAATTGACCAGTTGCATTAATGAAGTGATGGTACTACAGGTCTGTTATTGTTTCAGTGGTTAATTTGAAAAGCTTTTAGAGAAAAGATCATCCCAGAAAAAAATAAATGAAGCCAAAATACACCCAAAATAACAGAAAATCTTATTTTAAATCATTCTGTAACTACAAAATGTTCATATTACTCTACTATAAAAGTATGAGAGGATGAACTGCATAATTTACTGCATAATTGACTATTTATAGTTCACCTCATTAGTGTATATGGAGCATGTAAGCAAAGCTGTAATGAAGTGCAACCAGTGAAGTGAAAGAGCCAGAGAAAGAATATTAATGTTTTCAACAACATGACTAAATAATTCAATTGCAAAAGATGAAAAGCCCAATATTAAAACAACAACTTATTTAAATTCTAAAGATAATGCATGAACATTGATTAATCAGTCCTTTAATTAAATGATAAGTGAAATAATTGAGCCTTGAACCTTACACACATAATAACAACAATGTAAAACTGGTGCGGCTCCAGTGAAACACTGACCTTTGACATCATTGAGACTTGCTCCAGTGACTCCTTCACTGAGGTCGATGAGCGTCCCCTCAGACTTACAGCGAGGAAGTATGTGGTTGTTGTTCGTCACTCTGATGATTCGATGGGCAGCCATGGCTGGTACTTATCGTAGCATTCGCTCATTGGCAGCTTTTCATCTGGATGGGAAACAAACAAAAGACATTTCAGGGAAGCTTAATTTTCTAGATCACTAACACAGTTAAATCTACAAAGGTCAAAGCCGCTGCTGCGGAAAATAAGGTTAACAAATATCACTGAATTTTTGAAGGCGCTGTGTGAAGTATGTGCTAGGGATATAATGACTCATGGCTGAACAGGGACAGTTTTCCTAAATCAATGGAAAGACCATGAGTGTTGAACTGAGAGAAGACAGAGAGAGGTGTGATTCAGGGGGACAACAATCAAAAAGCAATAAAGAAATGAAACCTAAAGAGATTAAAGTTCTGAGTGAAAGTGACAATAAAGAGAAGGTCAGAAACATAATGTCAACCATGAGCTGAAAACGTAGTGTGCAAACAACATTACGGCAACATGTGGGCACTTGTTGATTGTTGAATATGTCATTCCAAAACTGTGGTTAGAGCCTTCACTCTTCCGGTTTCAGGTAGCATTTTAAAACCTGGCTGCAGGGTTATGCTCCCATTCAGCCAAAAGACCGTTAGTGAGGTTGACACATTTGTGACAAAGACAAAATCCCTAGGGAAAGTAAACAGAGCTCTTAACTACAGTAGTTCACCAACTAGATTATCTGCTGTGCCACTTGAAAAACAGCCTTAGACCAAGTATTTAGACACCTCTGTCCACATATTTTTGGCCATATAGCATATATAAAAAGCTCATACCCAACCTCAGAGACTAAGTTGTCTGCAGTCACACAAGTCCTAATATTTTCCAGTAGGGAATTCAAACCAGCAACCTTTTCACCATCCCTTTATCCTGGCTGTACAGTATAAACTGCACTTCTCTGTGTTTTAAGCATTTACATCTGTGATTGTATCAACCAAGTTACCAATTTCCTTGTCAGACTTGAGTTGTGATTCAATTTGTGTATGAAAACACTCAGCAGAGGACTGTAATCTGATTAGAGAGGAAGCAAGAAATAGTTTTGCAGCAAAACGTTGTTCCCTTCAGTCACAAGAGACTTTATTATTCCTGCAGGACGTGGCGAGTGGCGGCAGTGGGAATGTTTGCATTTGCACGCTAATGATGCTATTTTAATCTGATTAAGGCAACACAGAATGTGAAAGCTGCCATGTAAATGCTTTTTACTGATTCACTTCATTAGCACTTTAATGTCTGGAGCTTAATTTTCACATTAAACGCTGAGGATTCTGATTCAGGTGCAGGTGTTTGTTTTCATATAATACAGCACTGCAACATCACTTCACTATGTTCACTAATAACATAATAAAATGAGCTGTTATTAGCAAGGTTTGATGTCAGAGACGAAATACACAGATTTTATCTTTCTATACTCACATTAATGTAAAGGTTTGAAACCCTTTCCTGTCAATCTTCAGCTGTCATTGTCAATTAAAGGCAATAAAGCCACAAAAAACATATACTTTAGCACCTTTCTAGTCTTCCGACTACATAAAGCTCTTTACAACCCATTCGCCCACTGAGGGCGGAGGCTGTTTCAATATCATTATACGCAGTAATAAGGCTGAATTGTGCAAACTTCCAAAGGCACAAAAGTTAAAGAAAACTATTGTTAAGATAAGGCAATCATTTTGTGGGTTAGAGGTCTTTTCAACGTCTTCTTTAAACTGTGATATGCAGAATATTGCCATTTCTTTATCTTCTTGACAGGGAACTAGTGTTTGTCCCCAAGGACAACTTTTATCTGATGAGATACATTTTCAATTTTTGTTCCTATCACTTCTCCAGTTCTTTATATAGCAGCAAAACAGTCAAGTAGACTAAACAGACTCAATATCACTGCTGTAAGAATAATGTACTTTCAGCTTTCAACTGCTTAGTTATTGTTTAGGGTTTTAGTGAAAAGACTACTTTGTTTTGGCAAAAAACCTCCACTCTTTTTACCCAGGACTGGCCGCTGAAATGAACCTGGTGACTGTGACCTCTTTATCCGTGAGCCGCTCGCTGCTCCAGTGTGACCCCGAGACCCCACGGGAGCTCTGCAAAAAATGTTTTTTTCTGCCTGTCTGGCCTTGATAGTTTTGATGCAACATATTTGCAGACAAGTATTTCACATTTTCATGTTGTTTATCCATCTTGTCCCCGGCGTAAAGGTCTTTAATCTGCAAATTTTTAAATGGAGTAAGGTAGAATCGAGCAGACTACTCTCTCATGCCTCAAAATGACAAAAAACTAAAAATCTGCTTCAGCTTTAGAGCAGTTCTTCTCTGGAGGTGAGGAGTGAAACTGTAGCAGAGGTGCACTCTGGGATGCAGTGCATCCAGTGAAAAGAAAGTGAGGCTTGTTTAATGGCTGCCTGTGTTCACCTGGGATCTCAGTCTGAAAGGCAGACAAACCCTCCCGAGGTGACATTTCATTTTCCTGCACACTCTTTGCTCATCTGGGAACGCGTCGGTCCGTCGATAAACCCTCTCCTCCTGCTCAAAAATGAGCGCTCAGCGGGCCGCCAGAGTGAGGCTGCGATCAATAACAAGCCAGCAGATAAAGACACTGTCACCGGCTTTGATATAACACCGAGGCGAGCCCTGCTGAGGGGGGGGGAAGTGAGGAACTGGATGCTCCTGTTCACTGCGACAGGAAACGTAGCAGTTCAGAGCACACCGGATTCCTCAAGAAGACCCCTGCAGATCCACGCTGACAAACTATACAAACTAACAATTATAAAAACACAAACGTTTGACTGTGATGCCCTGCGTGTGACCTTTTACAGACATCATTCTTTATATTACAGAGATACTATATACAGCATCTGCAGGAATTACTCCATTTCACTTTAGTTTTACTTCACATTAACAGAGAACTTTCAATTACAGGGGAGAGGAAAAGCTATAAAGGAAACTTTCAGGGGATCTCAGCAAACTGCTCGAGGGTTTGTGGGTTAGCCTTCCTCAAAATTGGAATATTTCCCCCCCCCCACCGGTGCATCAATATCCGAGTCAGTGAAATACTCTGCGTTATTAACTCATTTCAGTCAGGGTGACAGAGTGTAGCAGCGGTGAGGACGACAGGGAGTCGAAAGTTTAATTAGCCGAGAGCCGGCCGGGCCTAATCCCTGGATGAATCCTGCTATAATAACCATTTCCAGCAGCCATATGCTCGCGGAGAGTTTATCGTTTTTCCCATCACAGCTGTTTAAAATGAGCAGATTAAAGGACAGAGAATGAGATGCGAGCAGCACAGGCTGGAAAACACAAACCTATCATGTCAAACCTTAAAGCAAAATTATGTCATATTTAAATTGAATCTACTGTTGAATTTCCTGTGTAAGCATTCAAACATGCAGTAATCCCAGATCAAAGATGGAGGCCGAGGGGATAAAAGTCTCTTAAATCAAGATCAAACAAACCAAAGACAGATTCCTATCAGTTTAATAAAATGACATGAAAACAACTTTAAAGGCTTGTTAGAAGATTCTACAAATCGTAAATGTACATAGTTGAGGAATAGACACCAAAGTCTCCTTAACTTTTAATATTAAAAATCCCAATCCTTTGATGAAACCTCCAAAATTGGATTCCTTAATTTATTGCGTAATGTGTTCCTGCAATGTCTCCTAAATATTGATTTGTTAGATCTACATCTCTCTCGCTATCGCTCTTTCTCTTTACCAGTATAGTCCGTTGAGACAAAATAAATTACCCAAAACTGTTTAACTTGTTTAGTGAATGCAGCAAGTTACAGCTTTTCTGAGTCCTTCCCTACATTTTGTCCTGGCCTCTGTTGGCTGAAAAAAGGGTATAAGAATCATCAAAAAACATCAAAACTAAGCTTCATTTGACTTTAAACTCTATAAAGGGTCGGCTTTTTCATCTATTTTACAGGAAACTGACCTTAGGGACAGAAACACATTAGGTCTAGTTGAGTCAAGTACCTAACTGGCTGCCCCGTTGTGGCCTGCGGCAATGCAGCTCTGCTCCCAGCATGCATATGGACGCATGTTTACACCTGTGATATAGTGGCGGTGAACCAGCAGAAGAAATGTACAGGAGCTCAGGGAAGAAATGTCCTTGGAAGTTTTTTAAACGCCTACAAACTAATGAGTGGTTTCACCTTATCACCTTACCATGATACTGAGTTTTTAACTTACAGTACGAGCATTTGTATAAGATGGAGATATCTATCTGGAGATACAGGTAAGCCGACAAACTTTCCTAAAAAAAGATGATGATGGAAAGAAGGTGTTTTGAGGATTTATGGGGAAGTGCTGGTTGTGTTCCAACAGTGAGAAACAAAAATGTCTAATTTCAACCAGAAATCAAAGAATTCTGGAGGAACATTGAGGCAAGCGATCTTTCGGCACCACAGTTTGAAATCTGCAGGCTAAAGTTTGTGCAAAATGAATGTTGAGTTTCCTTTGAAGCCGACACTTTTCCTCTCCAAAAACTACAATATGATGTCATGAATCTGCACTTATTAAGTGCTTGAAGTGTGGCAATTTAGTCTCTTAAAAATTTATTTGATTTCATTTGACCCTTTGTGTCTTTTTTTTAAGCTTCCACACAGAGAAACATCATATTCCTGTTGAGTGGGTGATTCCTCTCTCTGAGGGTCTTTCTTACTGTCCTGCTGCAGCTTTCTTACATGTTCAGGGTCTTACTTTTTACCCTGCAGACCTGCAGGAAAATGCATTTTTTTTAAAAACTTGTTTTGGCACGTGGTCAACTACATTAGTCTGCAGCGCCGCTCTGCCGCGACCACCACCATTCATCACCGGTGAAATTCATCTGTAAAATATTACAATCGCTCCCCTCAGGATGAATTTCCAGGTAAATGAGACCGCTAACTGTTGAGTTTTATTGCCACTGAGGGAGATTCTTCAGCCATCGACGGTTTAAGAAGAGTGGTTCGCACTTAGAAAGAGGAAGTGGCATTTTAAACACGTCAACAGTTCAAATTTAGGCCAGCAATTGCCAATATTAAGTGTTTCGAATGCAATAATTTACCGCCAGCGTCTCCTTTTA